GTCTTAGTTATGGTTTCTATTGCTTTAAAGAAATACCATGAGCACAGCAACTCTTATTTAAAAACAAAAAACAAAAATGCCACCACCAGCACCACCAACAACAACAAAAAACATTTTGTTGGGACTGGCTTACAAGTTCAGAGGTTTAGTCTATTATCACCATAGCAGGAAGCACAATGTACATGCATGCAGACATGGTGCTGGAGAAGGAGCTGAGAGTTCTATATCCAGATTAGCAGGAAGAGAGAACGACACTGGGGCTGGATTGAGTATTTGAAACCTCAAAGATCACCCTCAGTGATACACTTCATCCAACAAGGCCACACCTACATTAGCAAGGCCACAGCTCCGAATAGTGCCTTTCCTTGCGTGCCTATGGGTACCATTTTCATTCAAACTACCACAAGTTGTAAGTGGAGTCTTACTGTCACTCTCATCATCTGAAATCTATGATTATCAACCTGAACATTATCAGCAGCCCCACCCACAGCCACTAAAACTGGAACAAGGAGCTTGGTGGTATCTCATCCTGAGAAAAAAACTCCCAGAGGCATGAAGCTATAACTGCTGGTGCTCTGTGCTCTAAGGCAGGTCACTGCAAGACTTGCTTTTAGACCTTTGCACAATCCATTGATGGGAAGTGAAAGAGTCCACTCTTCCCACCTGAATGAAAGCAACACTGCTAGCACATCCTTTGTCTCACTGTCACAGTCAAAGAGACAAGAGATATGGGTATCTCATGACCCTAGACAAGCTGATGGGGAATATCACTCGAAAAAGAAAATTCTCATCTAAAAGGTCATCTGGTAAGATATGTGTTCTGAGTGTGAGAAGATACCCAATGCACCCCAAAGCAAGTGTTCTCTGAAAGGAGGGTGGAGAGCATACCTGTGAATAAGTGGAAATTTAGTGTAAATGTGGCTGCTACAATAGAGAAAGGCACAGCTAATAAAACAAAGAATCAAAAGCCAATGCTCTAGATTTCATTCCGAACTCTTTATCCCTCTCCCCTTTTAAAGATTTATTTATGTGAGTGCTTTATCTGCATGTACACCTGCAAGCCAGAAGAGGGCATCGGAACTTATTATAGATGGCTGTAAGCCACTATGTGGCTGCTGGAGAATTGAACTCAGAACCTCTAGGAAGAGCAGCTGGTACTCTTAACCACTGAGCCATATTTCCAATCCCAACTCTTTAGCAATTTAGGAGGAATAAAATGTAATAAATGGGATAGAAGGAACTGGTTTGTGGAAAATAAGAAGTGAGAACTATATTAGCCATTGTCATTTACACCAGCTGTTGAAATCCATTGACCATATAACTGCATTGATTATATGCTAATACATATGATTATATGATGTGATAAAATATTATTATTATAATCTCATTATTATATTAGTTACAGAAAGAATTCACCAGTGGCTTTCCTCTAAGTCATTGTTTCAGGAAATTATGCAAGATACAGATTACTTTGTGGCTCAGCTATTTAGAACCAAGGGCTTTCTTGAGACTGGGGAAGAAAGAGATGGGTGGTCTGCAAGTGTTTGGAAAGCACTCCCTTCAGATATTCAAGGTCAGCATCAGCTACATAGCTATTTTCAAGCTAACTAGAGCTACATGAATCTCTGCCTCAAAATACAAAAACAAAAAACAACAAAAAACACACACCAAAACTCCTAAAACAGTACTGGTAGGATAGTGTTAATACTCAATTCCAGCACTGTGGAGACACAAGGATTGAGAGTTTGAACCTAGCCTGGGCTACATTGTGAGACCTGTCTCATATACAGACAAACAAACAAAAGGTGAAAAGCAGAATCATAACTCAAAAAATAATAGAAGAAAATGTAGAGGATCTTGTTTCCAATCCTGACAACCAGAGTTGCATGCCCAGGATCCAGGTTGTAAAAGAAGAGAACCGGGCTGGAGAGATGTCTCAGCAGTTAAGGGCACTGACTGCTCTTCCAGAGGTCTTGAATTCAATTCCCAGCAACCACATGGTGGCTCACAACCATCTCTAATGGAATCAGATGCCCTCTTCTGGTATGTCTGAAGCTACAATGCACATTGTGGCACATATGTCCACAGTCATATACAAAATAACTGTTAAAAAGGAAAGACATTATAGAATAGTGCTGTAATGTGAGGATAGCACCATGATAAGATACACAACTCAGTCAACATAGCAATGATTTAGCAAATGTTTACATAATACTGTATAACTTCTCAGGAGTCAAAAATAGCAGAAAAGACAGAACAAGGGTAGATACTAGCAATGTTACACACCAGGATGAATAGCCATAGTGTACAACAACTTTCCTCAGGGTGCAGCAATTCCCAGATCCAGAAGCACAAATAATCAGATTGATTAAAGAGGAAGTCATGCTCAGTGTGGAGGAGAATACAAAACCAAAACAACTGTGGTAGTACTTAACAAAACAGTAAAACTAGAAAATTGGACAACATCAAGAGAACTTCTCCCCTCTTGCTGAGGCAGCATTAAGAATGTATAACACAGCCGGGCAGTGGTGGCACACGCCTTTAATCCCAGCACTTGGGAGGCAGAGGCAGGTGGATTTCTGAGTTCGAGGCCAGCCTGGTCTACAGAGTGAGTTCCAGGACAGCCAGGGCTACACAGAGAAACCCTGTCTCAAAAACAAAACAAAACAAAACAAAACAAAACAAAAAGAATGTATAACACATTGGATTGAGCATGGACTAAGATTACAGGCATGCAACACCACACCCATTTTAAATATACAGTTTTACCCTGTTAATTCTGCTTAGAGCTAATTATCCCAGAGAGATGTATACTCCTTCAAGGTTGTTAGTTGCAGAAAATAAATAAGTTGTGATAAAATAAATAATCGTGAAAATTAAATCAACTGGAGATTATAAATTATAATATGGTTATCCTACCAAATATGGTAAGACCAGAGGAGAATGAACTAGTTGGTTTCTTTAGACATGGAGGACCTCAATGATTTATTGCTGTATAGGAGGATCACAACAAAAATGAATTGCTTTAATGCTGTGTGAATACTATGTTGGTGATCCCAAGCAAAAACAAAAGATAGAGAAAACACAGTCTTGCTTAAAATATCTTTTTCTGGCAATTTTTTCAGTGACTTGCTCTAAAAATATGCATGCTGGAAGGCAGCTTGATAGTTTCCACTAGACTCACACATCCACTCCCACATGAACAAGCAACCACTGTCTTACGCTTTAATTTAAGGAAGAAATGGAAATATGACTCTGCAAAACATATAGGTGACTGTTTAACCCTGGATTTTTGTGTGGTAGCTTAAAAGTTGAAATGAAGGATTAAGGGTGTAGTTTAGTTAGTAGAGTAATTGCCTAACATACCTGAAACCCTGAGTTCAATCCTTAGCTCTGCATATATTGTGAATGGTGGCAAAGCAAATGCCTATAATCCTAGCACTCCAGAATTGGATGAAGAAGGATCAGATGTTCATGATCATATTCAACTCTATAGTGAGTTCCAGGACAGAATTAGATACTTGATATCTTGTCTCAAAAAAAAAATTGGAAAACAAAACTCTGGCCCTTTAACTGACCACTGCTCAAACTGTGGTTCACCCAAATGTGAAGTATTGCACAGCACTGAAAGGGAGAATTATTAACAAAAGCAACAACTCAGTGGTCTCTTGAAAGCATCAAATTGAATAAAAACAAGACTACCGTTGAAGGTTGTAGGCTACATGGGTATACTAATGGCAACACTCTTCCAGTTACTAAATTCAAGACCCTGAATAGAAAGCAGTTTACATACATTGCTGTGGATTGCCAGGAAGAGGCAGAGTCTATAAGACTATAGTTGTCTATAGTCAACAGGAAGGACCCTTCAGCTAAGGAGGCCTATGTCCTAGCTGGGGTAGTGAGAAAGATCCATGTGGTAAGTAGGCCCAATACAAGCACTTAGATACTTTGTAGGCCCAGCACAAGCACAACACTTAAGTTTAAAGGGCTGTTTTTTTTTAACTGCTGGGGATGGAACCCAAGACACTGTTAATACTAGGCCAGTGCTCAAACATTGACTACATCCCCAGCCCTTCTTAGAGAGTCTGACAGCCACACTGAGGTCAGCCAAGAAGCTCAGAGTGAAACCAATGCCAGAAGGAGCCACAGGTCTCTTGGATGCCTCTGGGCAACTTCCAGTAAATTTGTGGTTTGTACTTGTAATCATAGCTACATGAGTGGCTGAGGCAAAGGAACACAAGTGTGAGGTGTGAGACCTTCCTGAGGTAAATGACTTCTAAGAAAGGGAGGGGGTGGTTAGGGAGGATTGAGCAAGTTGTTGTTTGGGGTTTGCGTTTGTTTTGTTTTTCAAGACAGAGTTTCTCTATGTAGCCTTGGTAGATCTGCTTGCCTCTCCCTTCTGAGTGCTGGGATTAAAGGTGTGCACCACCACCAGGATTGTTTTGTTGTTTTAGCAGGGGATATAAACAGCATTCTTGCAAGCATCCGAGCACTAAAAGTGGGGAGGGGAAATGGGTGGAATATACTGAAGCCTCATGTTGTGGGGTCCATTTAAATGCAACATAACTCAAACGCCAGACTTGGGAGCTGAACATTGTACAGCATATTTTAAATATGAAACCATTCAGAGCGGGGTGAGGAATGGAGGTGCTAGGTGGTCTGTAGCTTTGTTCAGTAATATTTTGACATAAGGGGTTGAACAAGGGAGTTTTCATCAATCAGGAAAGTAGTTGGTTCCTGGGCCTAAAAACATGAATTTAGTATGGTTCTGACAGCAAGATGGAGAAGTTGTCCTTGAGATGTTTCGACTCAGACAACTGTTTCCTTACAACAGAAGTTGTTCAACTATTAGGAAGTCCCTAGCTCTCCTAGGGACTGGGGACCTTGAATTTAAGTTTCTCCCTATGATTAAATGGAATTTGAAAACGAAATGGTAGTACTTAGAATAAGTTTCTTTTGTTTGTTCCCAACATTCAGAAGTGCAGAAAGCCACATCCGACGACTAAAATCTCAAACCAACAAAGAAAACACTCCTGACATAAGACAGCAGCGATGGACAAGCAATGGGGCAGTTAATTGGGCAGAAAAGGCATCCGTCGTGAGAGAGGGGCGGGTCTTCCGTGGTGGCCTTGATGTCTCATTGGTGGAGCTAGTCAGCCCCAGAGAAAAGTGAAGAACTTCCATTGCAGAGCTCAGCCTCTGAGGTAAAAGCGGGGCAGGGTTGGTTACGTTTAGCAATGTCTTCTTTATCCCTTTGGGAGGTGTTAATTCCTTCCCGAGCAAAAATACAGAGGAAGTCTCTCTCTCAAGGGCCAAGGCACAGGCAACCTTGTACATGCAGGTCTGCCAATTCTCTTTCCCCACGAAACTCATTCTGAGAGGTAATTAGGCCCTGAAGAACCCAAAAAGAGTTATGCTTGCTAGGATGTTGGAGAAACAGTACACATACCCAGCCATGGAATTCTGTCACAATGCGTCAATGCACGACCAAGAATTGGTCTTGGAGCTGCCTTGTGCCACCTCCCGTGAATCTCAGAGCCACTGAACCCATCTCCTACCCAATGTGTCCTGTCCTCCTCTCCAAGTGGTCCTGAGTGTGAGTGTAAGAATTAACAAAAGAACCACTCTCCCTGGGAGGCTACTGCACTAGAGGCTACTGTCAGAGGTGTTGTTACAGTCTTCTGAAGTCAGGGGAGGTGAAAGGGAGTGAAGTAATAAAGACCTAACCATGTCACTTGAGAGGTGTGGCTCACCAGAAAGAGAATCTTGTTCTGCCTCAGGACCACTTGTATCTTGGCTTCATTCAACTGGGGTTCTTTCAGTACTTGGCTCTAGTGTTTCCTCGGATAGATAAAAGAAGGAAAGTCCAGTAAAGAAAACTGGAACATTTCTGGAGGGTCTCATACACCAGTGTCTCCAGAAGCTGCTCCCAGTGTGTCTGCCTAAAGCTAGGACTAGGGACATTTGGGAACAGTGTAACCACTCTTGGCACTTAAACTCAGGAGCTTCTCCAGCTGTCTCAAATCAAGGGTTATGCTTTTGCTACAGATCAACTTCTGCTATATGCATTTAATTCAATTTGCCTGGGACTATTTGTTGTAGGTTAGTGTTCTGCTCCTTAGGCAGAACTGTGACAGCTGGGCCTGGGGGTCCACTCTGGTCTGGGTGTTGTGGAGAAAGGACAAATACTGGCTCTATTTGGGGAGGACCAGGAGGTGACCATGGAGGACACTGGCCTACACTGCCCTGTCTCTGGTAGTCTGTAACAGGTTTCATGACTCAAACTGGTGTCCTCTTTCTTCACCTACCAGTCTTTGGACCCTGGTTGATCCCCCTCCTGCCACCCAGCTGAGTCTCCTTTCCTCTACTTCAGGCCCCAGATGCCAGTCATGTACCTGGGCATGTATCTGTTCCTCCGCTGATTTCTATAGCCTTTATCCCCACCCCCAGCTGTCTGTGGCCTCTATGGGCTATTCCCAAAATCACCTGCTGCTTGTCCCCTCTGTTCTATTCCTAACCTGATACCTTGGCCTGGGCCAGCCCTCTAGAAGCCCAAGAGGCTACTAGCCAGTTTCTGGTAGGGTTTAAGTAATGTGGCCCACTGCTTCAGGGAGCTCTACTGAAGGCATTGTCCCCCTTTCCTTATGGGGGGTGGGTGGGGTTTTGAGCAGAGTAACTGGGCTGTCAGGCTGACTAAAGGAGGAGAAATGGTCAGCTGTGCCTGCCCCCTTGTAGTGAGAATTTTGGTTTCTTTAAAATCTGTTATGTTATGTGAATGTGGTTTTGTTTTAATCCCAGGTATAGGATAGGGGGCTTCTTCAGATTGTCCACAGCTACTAACTATGATTGTCTTGTGTTCTAGGAGGGGCATGATTTTTGCAAATAGTATATATAGTATATGTTTGGGACTCTGAAGACTCTTGAGAGGGTATAAATGCAAGAGCACCAAGCAGGTTGTAGTGCCTGCTGCTCCCCCTGCTACTGCTACTGCTGCTTTTTCTATGGCTATGGCTATGGCTGTTGCTATGGATTGCTGGTTGGAGATACCCTAACTATGGAGATTGGCTTGCCCCAAGGAGCCTGACACCCATAATCAGCAGGAAGTAGTCTGAAGAGGTCTATGCCCCCTTTCCCTTCTAACCTTCTTTCTCTCCTACCTAGTATTGGGGGTTTGGAAGGGTGGTGGATAGGAGAACCTAATAAAGTAGGCCCAAAAAGTACACCTACACCCCCCCCCCGCCTTGCCCTGCCCTGAGTTCAGCGTGAACTTGCAGTCTCTGGGCCCTGCTTCCAGATGGAGTTAACAAGCCCATTTCCCTTTTTGGTCTCACTGGGTGAGAAGACAGGCTGTGGAGGGCATTTGACCATGTGACCTTGACTTCTGCAACCTAGACTTCTGGTGCCTGTTGGCCAACAGAGCCAGGGCCAACAGTTGTGGTTGCACATCTCCACCCCACTGCAGATTCTAGGCCATGTGGCCTGGCTGAGCAGTCAGCTGAGGTGGTCACAAATGTGCACCTGGCCTGCCTCTTCCTGGTAGCCTCCAAGACCTCCTGTATTCCCTGTATGGCTGGGTCTTTTCCAGAATGGTATGCATGAGCCTGGAGAGATGGCTCAGTGTTTAAGAGCACTTGCTCCTCTTCCACAAGACCCAGAATTGATTCATTCCCAGCATCCATATTATGGTGGCTCACAACCTTCTGTAACTCCAGACCCAGGAGATCCAATGCCCCATTCTGGCTTCTGTAGGAAGCAGGCATGGACATGTTGCACAGACATATATACACAGGCAGATGCTTATATACATAAAATAGTTAATTCTTTCTAAAGGACCCATTAAGGATGGTAGGCATACTTGTGGGTGTCATATGCCTGGCTCCTGGCCAGTATGGGGCACCCATCTCTTTTCCATTTGCCTCCCTGGCCAGATATCTTCCAGTTCACTGCCTGGAGCTTCTGACCAGGTATATTTAGAAGCCTGTCCCATCCCCAGTCAGACATCTTCTGCTCACCATCTCCCCTACAGCCCCAGGTATCTCAGCCCCCTGTGTATGATGTAGAGGCAAGAAGACAGGGACCCATGCTTAACCCAACTCTGCCTTCTACAGTGACTCCCCTGAGTAACTTTGCCAGGCCTTGGCTTAAGAGGATGTGAAGGTGAGCCTGTGTAGGCAGAACTGGTGCCAGGACTGGGTTAGAGGCTCTAGGTGATTTGGGGGCATGGGTGTCCCTGGGTGCAGAATCCTAGCTATGTAGAAGGGGAAGCTGTCTCATCTCACCTCTGTTAGAGCTGCACCTCTTTGGACTTGCCTTTGCTACTTTTTGTTCCCTGTGCAGGTGGGCAGCTTCTGAAGGTTCCCAGAGTGTTGGCCCCTCCTCTATCCTGTCTGTTGAACAACAACAATACCAATGGACTAAGTAAGGGAAGGACTTTTATCTAGTTACCTCTGCCTGTCTCCTGGGCAGTGTCTTCCTTCTGTTACTGGCAAGCCTCAGATTCACAAAGTGAGGATCAAAGGTATACATGTTTCTACCTGGTACCAATATAGAAACAGGTTGTAGAATCTTCCAGAGTCATGGGCATGGACTCAGTTATTTCTTCCTTGTGTTTTTTTTTTTTTTTTTTTTTTGGTTTTTGGTTGGTTATCCCTCTAACAGTTACATCAGTGATCATATTTTGCCTGACAGGGTAGAATTTTTTTGTTGTTGTTGTTTTCGAGACAGGGTTTCTCTGTGTAGTCCTGGCTGCCCTGGAACTCACTCTGTAGACCAGACTGGCCTCGAACTCAGAAATCCGCCTGTCTCTGCCTCCCAAGTGATGGGATTAAAGGCATGCTCCACCACTGCCCAGCTTCTCCCTTGTGTTTTTAAATGCCTAACCTTTAGCCAAGTCCTCTTAAGTCCTACCTAGTAGGGTTTCAGTAGAGGCCATGGCAAGTAATCAAGTACTAGGAGCTGAGAGAGGATTATGACCTACAGGGTAGGTTTTCCTGGCCCTCACCTACAGCTGAGCCTAAGAGACATGCCTAGGGCTAGATCAGTTTCAAGGAGATCTCCCATATATTTTCGGGTTTCACTGGGAGCTGGGCCTTAGGACGTTGTTTAATTTTACCTCTAAGGGACATAAGGGTACAGAAAGGCATTATTGTTCCACTGTACTTGTAGGAAGGAGGCACTATGACAAGACCTATTTAAAGATAAGAGGAGATATCCATTAAGGACACATCCTAGGACCAGAGTACTGTGTTTCCCTCAGAGTGGGTACCCAACCTTTCACTGATGGACATGATACCTACCCTGTTCTGGGAAGGGGAATTTGTAATGGTGTCTTATTTAAAGGGTTCACAGCAAGCCAGGCATAGTGGTTCACCCTTTAATCTCAGCACTGGCAGAGGCCAGAGGATCTCTGTGAGTTTGAGGCCAGCTTGGGTCTACCCAATGAGTTCCAGTCTATACAAGGCTACATGATGAGACCCTGTCTGAAAAAAAAAAACTAACATAAATAAAAGGGCTGGTATCATGTTCATGGTATCTAAGAGATGGCTACACCCTGATGCTATTTCAAAGACAGTTCATCACTATTAAGGATCACCAACCAGCTAGCAATGAATCTTCATGCCCTATCTAGATTTTGCCTGCTTGATCCTATATGCCATTCTAGGCACACCATAAACCCCACTCTGTGAAGCAAAAGACCAAGTACAAACTGTGCTATTGAGATTCCAAAGCCTATGCTGAGATGCTTTTGCCTTGTTCGTACCCTTGCCAGTTTGGCCTTCAATCACTTCTTCCATGAAAGCTACATTCACAGGACAATGGAAGCAAAATTTTATTCTTCTTGGCTGGGAAAGAGAACTAGGAGGTGGTTGTACATAGGATTTCTACCTCCCAGAACCAAAGAAGACTTGCTCTGCCACCAAATGGCTCCCTCTGCCAAAGTGAAAGCCCAGAGACAGGTGAACACAGCGCAGGGCAAGGACAAATGCAGTGAATAGTGGCCAGAGTGATCCAGGGAAGGGAGGGTTCCAAGGCTCAGGAAAGGAAAATGGGGCTTCTTGGGGATAGGACAGGTGTGGGGATGCTCATTGCCATGGGAGCTTCTGGCTGGCACAGGTGCCAGCTCAGGTGGTAGGCTCAGGGCACCATAATGCGGTATGGGCTGCCTGGGATATGCTCATCACCCCACTTAATCACCAGTGTGTACTCCCCTTTGTCCTTGAGCAGGTAGGAGACACTATAGAGGCGGCTGCCCATGTGTTTCACCAGAATCTCTTCACAGGGTGTCCTTGGGCCATGCACACCTACCAGCAGCATGTTGTTACCTAGGGTAGGAAGGAATAGGTCTCAGTGGCCTTAGATCCTTTCTTTGGCTATAATTGCTCTGAGCCCTTCTCACTATGCCACATTCTGTCCCTTGCCTGATTATTAACACTATCAAGCAAGCATCTCATACCCCAGCCTTGCTACCCAGGCCACCCAGGCCACCAGCTCCTCCAGGACATTGGTGTTTTGCCTGCATGTATATCTGTGTATGAAGGTAGAGGAGGAGGAAGGAGAAGCGACCATGAGCTGGAGTCAAGGGCCCTGAAGGCTGCTCAATTGGAATTAAGAGCAGCCCAGATGAAACATAGCAAGTAATAACTTGGTTGGGGTTGTCCATAGAAAAGTAGATTCTAACAACATAGAGAGTAGTATCTGCCAAGCGCTTGTGTTGTTTAAGGATTATTGTAAACATAAAGATTGTGTGTAGCCAGGTGGTGGTGGCGCATGCCTTTAATCCCAGCACTTGGGAGGCAGAGGCAGGCGGATTTCTGAGTTCGAGGCCAGCCTGGTCTACAGAGTGAGTTCCAGGACAGCCAGGGCTACACAGAGAAACCTTGTCTCGAAACCTCCCCCCCCCCAAAAAAAAGAAATAAAAAAAAGAAAAAAAAAACATTGTGTGTATGTTTTATCTGGGAAAATGGTCTAAGATGGAGTAGAAACGCTAGGTAGGGATTAAATAATTTCTACAACAGATCCCATGGAACTGGAATTACAAATAGTTGTGAGCTGCCATATCAGTGCTATGACTTGAACCCCAGTCCTCTGGAAAGAGCAGACAGTGCTCTTAACTGTTGAGCCACCTCTTCAGGAGCTCTACTCCAGGACATTTTCTTGAGGGGTAGAAAGGAAGATACAAAGGCCCAAATAGAAGGTAGCTCCAAAAGCAACGACCATACCCCTAAAGCAGTCCCTGCACTTCCGACATGCTGACTATCCTGTTATTTCTGGCTTTGCACTTCCAGAAGCTAAAAACAGGGCTACTCACCTGCTTTGCTGCAATCTACTGTGAAGTTGCTCTTCTGGCCTACATAAGCCTTGCTTAGCCCCAGGCCTTTGGCTACTACCTTGCTGATATCAGCAGGACCTGAGGTTGTGGTTGCATGCTGGGGAACAGTGGCAACTTTAGTCAGAGAATCCACAAACACAGATGATGTCTCGTGGAGGCTGTGGTTGCTAACAAGATGGGGACCTATAGAACAGAATGGGTGAGACTAAGAAGTGGCTAAAGTATCAAGGCATTGGGTGGCTACCAAAAGCTTAGCCTAAGGCTCACCTGTGACCTTGGCTTTGAAGGGGCTTCCCCCAATATGATAGGGGCCACCATACTTGATGGAGATGAGGTAGCTGCCAGGTGCCATGGGGGTATAGGTGACACGGTAGCCCTCTGGGCACTCCTGGCAATCCATCTTCACCTTGGAGGGGCCATCAATGGTAACTGAAAGGGCACCAGCTCCTGTATTGCTTGTGTTCACAATAAACTCAGCTGGGCTCCCTGGGAAAATGAAAGATCAGGCAGAATCTCTCACTGGCTTCCCTGAATTCAGCTACAGCACAGCTTTGATACTTCCACATGCTTTCTGGTGGTGGGGCTGTACATCCACACTCAGAGCCACAAACCTACCTGTGACACCACCTTCCAGGCCTGCTCCATAGGCGGACACTAAGCCTGGGTCCCCTCCATGCCCAGGCTCCCCAACTCGGATCTTGAAGGGACTTCCAGGGATGTGAGTACCATTGAATTTGACATCAATCAAGTAGATACCATTCTCTCGTGGGATGAAACGCACAGCATACTTATCTGAAATGCAGGACATGGTAAGGGCTGGGGTACTTTTTTTGTATGCAGCTAGCAAATACTATCTGAAAGGAACAGTTTTGGTTAACATCCCCTTCACTTCTTGCCACTAGCAGGAATCCAGCTGCTCCATGTTGATCCCTCTGCTTTCAGAATTGTGCTGGGTATTCACCCCAATAACAAATACATCCTGAGAACTAAGGCTATAGATACCTAAGAAGTCTACTTGTAAGTCTTTTGGACTAATAAGCAAAACACCCACCTTGTTGTCTCCTTAGACAGTGTACTGTTAATACTGTGCTGCCTACAGATTAGCAGGCTTAGAGATAGGGAGGAATCTGCTTCAGGTCATGGACCTGGGGGAAAGGGAAAACTAGTGAAAGTAGTGTACTTCAATAGAACTGCCATTTCTCTGGGCACAGGGATAGACTATCTCTCTGTGTCTCTGCCTGTCTGTTTTTATGTCTTTCTCATGTATGACACTGCTGTAAGGTGTTCTTCCTAATGGCCATGATGGAAAGCCATTATCTTCATGGATGCTTATCAATCTGGGAAGGGTTTCTTAGCTAAAAAGCCCAGTTTTGAATCATTATTTCGTGTACATTCAGCCTAGTTCTAGTCAGCTAGGTCAAATGGCTGGATGTGTAGGCAGGGATAGAGCCTCACCTTGGTCAATCTCTGTGACATAGCACTCCTCCAGAGCTCCTGAGGGGCTGTGCACCTTGGCATCAATTGCCCCCTTGGCTCCATTCAGGCTGACTGCAAAAGATGCTGGCTGGTTGACCTTTAACCCTGACTCCTGGAAGCACAGCAGATGTGGTTAGACAGGATGGATAGAGCCAGAGCAAATGGGAGAGCAAGAGACCCACAGAGTCACTTACCCATCTGGTGTCCAACATGGTTTAAAGAGGGAGAGCCATTGATCTGTGAAGGCAGCAAGCCACAGGCATACCCCCAACCTCCTATCCCCTAGACATGTTCTCTGCAATCACACACCCAGGTAACAGAAAGGCAAGGTGGCCCCACCCTGAAGGTAGCACTCAGCTCTAACAGGCTGTCCCTCTTTAAACCTCAGCCCTGGTGCTCAATGGGCACAGGCTTCTGTTCAAAGCCTTTAGAACTGAGACACGAGAAAAACTCCACGCAGTGGGCAGGGCACTTCCTGCCAACCTCAAGCGTGAGCTGTACCCGGCCAGAGCAAAAGCCTACCATCCAGAATTCTTTCTGGGTAGGTCACTCAGCTTGAGGCCAAGGCCTGCTTGCCATGGTGACTCTGGTCTGGCCGGGCCCAGGAGCCCCAGATGGGAAGTTTCTCTCAGTGCCTCACCTGAAGACTAGAAACAGTAAGGCGGCGAGCGTCACCAGACGGAGAAGCCACAGGCACC